CCTCCTTCTGGTCGGTCTTATAAACTCTCTTTAATGGTGGTAGACGGGTCAGTACCACCGCCTAGACATGGGGGCCTTATGTGGTTCACCACTCCAAGTTCCAGGGCTAGGTTGCTGGTTACTCTCTCATCTCAACATGAATACTACAACAAACAGGAACAATTCTCAAGCGCACTCTCAATCGACAATCTCACTCGCTAACATTCGCGGTTTGAACCACAATATTGATTCTGTGCATCAATTTCTTCAGTCCACTTCCCCTCTCGCCCTATTTTTATCCGAAACTCAACTTTCCCCCTCTACAGACACCACGCATTTTCAGTTTCCCAATTATTCCCTTCTCACTTCGTTCATTCCCAAAGCTGATATTTGTGCTTTCATCCATCATTCAGTTGTTTTTACCCCGTTCACCCACTTAAACCTCACCAACCGCGAATTCCAGACTCTGTGGCTGAAACTTTGGTTTTCTTCTTTCATGCACTACATCTGTACCGTTCCCCAAATAGTAATGACCCCTCACTCTGGTGTTTTATCGGCAAACATTGATTGCATTGTTGAAGCAGACCCCAACGCTCAATTAACAATTTTGGGTGATTTCAGTGTCAATAACAGGGACTGGCTGTTACACTCTTCAGGAACATTGCCCTTTGGACGTGAAGCAGAATCATTTGCCCTATTGAACAGCCTCCATCAACTGGTTGATTTCCCGACCCGTATCCCTGACCGTGCTGGCGACCACGCTCATACCCTCGAGCTTGTCCTCACATCCAACCCACAATTATTTTCAAATGTTGCTGCTATTCCTCTCCTAGACTCATCGGATCATTATCTTATTTTTCTCTCTACCCAAATTATTTGTTCTAATGTTCCTTCCAATTCTAAACGCACATTTTGGCGATATGGTTCCGCTGATTGATGCGGCTTTCATACCTTTCTGGTTTCCTGCCCCTGGAATGAATGTTGCTTTTCCACCGATATCTTAATCTCCGCTTCTAATATTTCCAAAGTTTTTTTGCAAGACATGCACTCATTTATTTCTCATTTCACTGAACCCGACAAGCCTATTTCTCCAGAATGGTTCAACCACGCCTGTTGTCGCGCTGTTTGTAAAAAGAAATCAGCGTTCCACCGCTGGTTCTCGTTAGCACGTAACAAATATACAACCATCATATAGAAGGCTAAAGAGCACTTTGTTGAGCGCAAAGCAGCACAATTGGTGACCGTTCCTTCCGGAAGCCGGACGTTCTGGTCACTCGCTAAAGCAGTCTCCCGTGACTTCTGTTCCACCAACTTCCCACCCATTGTTAAACCATACGGTGATTTAGCATCCGACCCGTTGGCAAAAGCAGAAGTGCTTGCTTCCCATTTTGCTTCCAATTCTACCCTTTTTGAATCACCCATCCAACCCCGCACACACTCAACGGCAAACCATCTTTTCACACCGCTCATTTCCACCAGAAAAATACGTCGCATTCTCTTGTCGATGGACCCACACAAACCACCGGGACCCGATGGGATTCCTCCCATTGTCCTCAAAATGTGCGCCCCAGAACTGGCTCCTCGACTACGTCGCTTATTCCATCTATCTCTAAATTCTGAGATATTTCCAACCCCATGTAAAATATCATAAATATTTCCAATCCCCAAAAGCGGCGATCACTCTAACCCAAACAACTACCGCCCCATCTCTCTCACACCAGTCATTTCGAAGGTTATGGAATCAGTTGTTTCTGATCAACTCCGCCACCACCTGGAGTAAAACAATACGCTTAACGAACGTCAGTACGGTTTCCGATCACATCAATCTACCGGGGATCTTCTGGCGCTCATTTCACATACATGGTCAGCGGCACTCGACAACCACGGGGAAACCCATGCGGTTTCATTGGATATATCGAAAGCTTTCGATCGTGTCTGGCGCGCCTGTTTGCTGGCTAAACTATCCAAGTTTGGCTTTCCTTCGGAACTTGTCCTGGACAGCAAGCTACCTCAAGGACCGAAGCATTTCCGTCAGAATAGATGGGACCATGTCTCGCTCCGTGTCTGTAAATGCTGGTGTTTCCAAAGATTCTGTACTTTTCCCTTCCCTTTTCCTGATGTTTATTGATGACCTTCTTGCTCCAACTTCAAATCCTATTCACGCCTTTGCCGATAACGCT